CACACGACTGTGGGGACGAGCTCTTCTGTGGTGCTTGGAATTCTGTATGATTGATTTAAAAACCAATTGTAAAACCAAAACTAAATTGACGGCTGAAGAAGGTGTAATTGTTAAAATAACATTGTTTTATTTTAAAATATGAATAAATTGTAACCCTGACATGTTTTTCAAGTGTAATATATCTGTAAACGCTAGGGACTTTTATATAAGTACTTACAACTGTGTTTTGTGAAAATTCCTTTCAAAATTGAACGGAATTGAAGCTGCCGTCTTGAGAAATACTCCATCATCTGAACCTGGCTCACTAAATAAGCCCACTCAGTATTGATCTGCCAGAGTAGATGAACAGCGCTGGTGTGTGTTTTAACACCAGAAGAAGAGAAGCTGAGTGGGCCTGCAGTTTCTCTGGCCCTGACACGTTTCAAGTGAAAGCCTCTGTTCGGCGGCGGAGGTGTCGGGCCTGCTGTAGTTTATTGATTATTAGGCTAGTGCACTAAGCCGCTTAAGGTCATTAGGAGCACTTAATTAAAAAGTGGTTAGACTGTCTTTGTTCTCTAAAGTAATAGCAGCTGTTCAAACGTGATCCACCGATAAAGCTCCTTTGTACAACAGGGCTTTTATCACTTTTATAATTCCATATTGCTGTTTTGTTGGTCGTGTATTTGCCCCAGTTCTTTTTTTACTCTTCATACTCTCCTCTTTTCACTTTTCACATCTCACGTGTTCATAAGACTTTGTACCCTAACTTGAAGGGAATGTTGGCCAATACTTCTAAATTTCTGCATAATTAAATTGTTAAGAGGTGAACACACTCATTCTGAGTGACGTGAAATGCTCCATTCTAGAGAAACGTAGATTCAGCATTGTTCACAGGGTTGTTGATCGAGTTTAATGCTTCAAAAGTGCAAGATAGATGTTTCCAATAAAGTAGACAGTGAATGGAAGTTTCTAATAAAGTGGCCAGTGTGTGGAAGTTTAAGCTGGTTGTTTCCAATATAGTGGCCAGTGTGGGGAAGTTCAATGTGCTTATTTCTAATAAAGTGACCAGTGTATGGAAGGTAAGGGTTTCTGATAAATTGGTATGTCAAAATACAAGTAGGCATTAAAATGGGCAGTTTGTGGAACTACAAGGAAGGTGTTTCTAATAAAAAGGCCAAAGAGTGGAAGTACAGGTAGGTGTTTTTAATAAAATGGCCAATGAGTGTAGGTACAGGAAGGTGTTTCTAATAAAAAGGCCAAAGAGTGGAAGTACAGGTAGGTGTTTCTAATAAAATGGCCAATAAGTGGAAGTACAAGGTTGGTGTTTCTAATAAAATGGCCAATGAGTGGAAGTACAGGTGGCTGTTTCTAATAAAGTGGTCAGTAAGTGAGTTTAAGGTGGGGTGACCACACATTCTCTTTTTGTAGGACATGTTCTTTTTTGAGACCTAAAAAATGAGTCCTGCTGGGATTTCTAAATTGCCTAAAATGCCCAGCATTTGGCTTTGCATTCCTCCCCCCAGTGCCCTCTTTTTAAAAATATGGTCACCCTAGTTTAAGGTAGCTGTTTCTAATAAAATGGCCAGTAAGTGGAAGTACACAGTAGTTCTTTCTAATAAAGGGGCCAGTGACTGGAAGTTTAAGGCAGGTGTTTCTGATAAAGTGGCCAGTGTGTGTATGTACAAGTAGGTGTTTCTGATAAAGATGCCAGTGAGTGTAAGGAAAGTTTAAGGCAGGTGTTTCTAATAAAGCGGTCAGTGTGTAGAAAAAGCAGCCAGTGGGTGGACATACGGTAAGTGTTTCTAATAAAGTGGCCAGTGAGTGGAAGTTTAAGGCAAATGTTTTTAATAAAGTGGCCAGTTAGTGGAAGTTTAAGGCAGGTGTTTCTAATAAAGTGGCCAGTGAGTGGAGCTTTAAGGCAGGTGTTTCTAATAAAGTGGCCAGTGAGTGGAACTTTAATGCAGGTGTTTCTAATAAAGTGGCCAGTGAGTGGGGGTTTAAGGCAAATGTTTCTAATAAAGTGGCCAGTTAGTGGACGTTTAAGGCAAATGTTTCTAATAAAGTGGCCAGGGAGTGGAACTTTAATGCAGGTGTTTCTAATAAAGTGGCCAGGGAGTGGAGCTTTAAGGCAGGTGTTTCTAATAAAGTGGCCAGTGAGTGGAACTTTAAGGCAGGTGTTTCTAATAAAGTGGCCAGTGAGTGGGGGTTTAAGGCAAATGTTTCTAATAAAGTGGCCAGTTAGTGGACGTTTAAGGCAAATGTTTCTAATAAAGTGGCCAGGGAGTGGAACTTTAATGCAGGTGTTTCTAATAAAGTGGCCAGGGAGTGGAGCTTTAAGGCAGGTGTTTCTAATAAAGTGGCCAGTGAGTGGAACTTTAAGGCAGGTGTGTTTCTAATAAAGCGGCCAGTTAGTGGAACTTTAAGGCAGGTGTTTCTAATAAAGTGGCCAGTTAGTGGAACTTTAAGGCAGGTGTGTTTCTAATACAGGGGTTAGTGAATGTAACTACAAGCTTCTTAATAAAGTGGACCCGCGCATGAATAATGTTCGACAGGTAGGATCAGACCCCGGTCCAGCGCGGCCACAGAGCCGCCTTAAAGGTTGTTTTCTCTCTGCCTCCGACTGCTGAGGGCCTCGCTCATTAGCTGATGATGTCAGGTGTGTTAAATGAGGTAGAGCGCCAAACTCTGCGGTGCCGAGGCCCTTCAGGAGTCTCGCCCTCCTGTCCTGGTGGATATACTCGCATTGTGCATTGATTCGTCCACCCCCACCTCCTTTAATCCTTTGTCCTCTTCTCCCCTCCCGGAGTTCAACACCTGAATGTGGGACTGGGTCCAGCCGCCGGTTGCCTAGCGACGCTGAGCGGCGTTCCCGAGCCAGAGAAGAGCCACTTAAAGCGAGCCGAGAGCAACATGGGGCTTCAGCGGGGCTGAGAGAGAGAGAGAGAGAGAGATGGCAACAGGTGCTTTACGCTGGATTTACCCGAACAGGGTGAACGGCTGAGACAGACAAGCTGCCATTTTCAGCTCTTTTTCAAATCTACCTTTTCTTTTTCTTTTTCTCGGAGTTTTTCTGCTGAAGTTCGGCTCCCCGTGTCTGGAGCGCGAGCGCTGAGCAGATGGCAAACTACCCTAATCTCCTTTCCTGTCGGAGGCCGTGTGCTTGAACACAGCGCGTTCTGAGGTAAGACGACGACATTTGTTCCTCTTCTCGTTGTCCACATTAAAAGTTCATATTATGTAAGTATTTAAACGTACTGTCATCAATAATTCGCGTTTATCGATGTTTGGCTCCGTTTGGCTGCGTGTACGCAGCGCGGTGACGTTCAGACTGACTGCCGCTTAACGCGGTAGAGTGGCTGAGCTTTTATTCTGTAGTGGACCTGCAGGGTTGACTGTCTGTCAGAAAGGCTGCACAGCCAGCAGGACAGACTTGCAGCAACCTGTTGAGCGTCTCTTAGTGGCACCGTACCGGCTGCGCGTGTAAAGGCCCAACATGAGCTCTTAATGTGTTACTCGTGGTGTTCTGCTTTATTCTGTGGTGCCACTCTGCTTCTCACAGCCTCGCAATGTCTCCTGCTTTTCTTCATCACTGTTCTGTCACTACATTAACCTAGCATGTACCCAGATAGCAGCATATATGGGTCTGCTGGCTTCATAAGGTCGGTACCCCACTGACTGTTTGCCACTGCTGGTCCACTCTCGGACCACCCTGATGACTGTCCTGCATACAAGATCTAAGTAGTTTTTAATCTCCTCAATTCGGTTTCAAATGCACAGAGACGTTTATTCGTAAAATAAACTTGGACAACAATTTCAAACAAAAGAGAAAAAATAATGACTAGGCCTGATTTAAAATGATTTTATAGAGAATGTTGTTGCACCGGGCACCGGGCTGGATTAAAATTACTAATCTACTAATTTACAAAGTATAACTGAAGAAAGGAAAAGGAAAAACAAGTAAACTGGACTGTGAGTGGAAAATGAGTGATAAGTGGAATTTTGTCTAATACTCTGCGTAAACACCGGTGGGCTGCCCAGAAAACGCCAGCGGAGCGCTAGCTTTGCCATCAGCGGGCCGACAGTGGTTCACTGTCCACTTGCTATCAGGGTATTATGCAAACAATGTATACAACCATTGTGAATCCCTGAAATTATTACTGCTAGCATACCCACTGATGTAGAGGCCAACAACAGACATTATGTTTGGCTTCTGTCTGCATTAGCCAGCTAAAAAACAAACATGTCAAGCAGCCTGCCTTCAAACGTTTGCCTAAAATGCTTGTAGCTCTTCAAAAGTTCCTCCCACCTTCGAGATTTACATTTACGGCATTTGGCAGACGCTCTTATCCAGAGCGACTTAGTGTGATCATTTTACACAGGTAGGTGAAGGCAGTGTTAAGAGTCTTGCCCAAGGATTATTGGTATTGTGTAGGGTGCTTGATTGAACCCCAGTCTACAGCGTAGAAGGCAGAGGGGTTACCCACTACGTAGTCGGTAAAACGTGAAGTCTCACTGTACAGACTGCTGTAGGTGCAGGTAAGCATGTCAACAGCTGATTTTGCACAATGTGGCATGTTCCCTGCATGTGTCTGCTTCACTCTGTAGCTTGTATGGCTAATTTCGGGTCTTTTTATAGTTTGTGTATTGTTCTTTTATATATATAAATAACTCTAAATCTTGCCACGTGTGCAGCTTAGTAAGGGAAGCCCTTCATTCAGGTCGTTCTCGCTGCAATTCCAAATCACAGGCAGGTGTGATTATTCGCTTGCATCAGATGGAATCCTAACAGCTTGGATAGGATTTTGGAATTTGATGTTTTGAAAAGTTATGCCTCACATCTGATTTCTCTTTTCCTTTGCCCCTGTAGTTCTCCTGAGGACCACAGCAGGCCCAAATCCTAGCTATCATGTGAAGGCTTTGACCTCCTCTTGGACATCGTGCCATTAAGCTGTGCTGCCTTACCCAAGGCGCTGGACTGCTTAAATAGAGAAAAAAAAAGGGGAAAAAATGTCACCTCCGGCATGACCATCATTACTTATTTAACGTCGCTACATCAGGAGGCCTTTTTGCTGCCAAGGATGTATTGGCTCCTTAGGCACAAAGGTACTGTGTTATTACTGTACACCCTGGGCCTTTTCATCACCCTCAGCCCTGTGGCCCCGCAGGGTTCCTTCCCCAGGCTGGAGAACATCGCGGCCTACAAACCTGTCAGCGTGGCGCCAGCCGGGGCTACATGTGGCGTCCCAGAGCGCAGCGCCTTCTGCCAGGCCGGCCGAGCACAGGAGGACTTTCTCACTTGTTCCCAGCAGTTCTGCGTCCAGGAGTGCCCATACCGCTCCTCCGCACCACGCTACACCAACCTGCTCACCGCCCATCCGGATGGGTGTCCAGCAGGCGACAGCCAGGATCTCCGCCCGGGGGCAGAGGCCGGATCCACCAGCTTCGTGTTTCGAAACCAGAGCGGTTGCTTGGCTTCCCTCTCCAGTCCAAACTTGGGCCCAGCAGGCTCATTTACCCTAACAGTTTGGCTGAAACCCGAGGAAGCCTCTGTAATGTAAGTAGCTCCACTGCCAGAACTTTCCCTTAAGAAGATCAGACACGCAGTGCAAGTGTTTGCTGTCACTTAGAGAGCTAATATCTTACTTAATCAGACATATCGGTTTCTCTTCCTGGCCTTTCAAAACCATTCGTATGTTCTGAACCAGATATGTAGTGGCTTTGCCATATTGGTCGCCAGCAGTGAGGTCTTTGTTCAGAATGTCCTTTCCTGTGTGGTGATAAACTTGAAAACATCAACAAATAATTCCAAGGTTGTGCCATTGCTTTATGTGTGCACCTCAAAACAGTGGACCACATGCTGGTGCTTATAAGTCACTCTATGAGGAGTCGGTTTGAAATTAATTTGTAATGCACTTGTCTTGTCGGGTTGGAGAAAAGCTCTCTGCCTTTTTTTCCTGCTCTACCCCAAACAAGACCAGCTGTGTCCAGTTTTAGATCAATGAAACGAAATTGCCACAGTGTTTCCTGAGCTCTGGCAGGAAGAAAAAAAAAGAGCATCATCTCAAAGGCCACTTTGTTTTTCCACGGCACAGAAAATGATATAGTTGAAAGTGGGTGATAGGATGAAAGGACAGGGCGAGAGAGACTCGCGAAGAACAACAACAACCGGTTCGGCATTTTATACCAAGTGTAGAGGATGAAAAGACAGACGGGCCACTGGCGTGCAACATTGAAAAAATAAATAATTGAGTCAGCATGGTCACGGCGGTTCAACAGGCACAAGAGAATGTGGAATTCTCTCCCTGAAGTGGCGGCGGCGGCCGTGACAACGAGTGTACATGTTGATTAATTCTTCTCTTAGTGAATTAATGGGCCTCTGTTTAATACCAACCGGAGAGCCCCCCTCGGTAACATGCCATAAAAATATGCACCACGTTGACTTGCTTTGGGAGCACTTGCCTTGCTGGCCGTATTGAATGCTAAAACGGCAGCATTTCCCCGGCGGAGGAACTCGGCCTAATTGCAAGTGGAGCACGCAGGAAAGCGTGGCTTGCAGGTAAGGCGAGCGGGACTCGAGGGCCAGCCCTGACTTGAGCGCAAACATGTTGCGTTATGATTTATTGGCTGTGGTGGCCCATGTTCGTAAACGTTTCCATTTCCTCATAAAATGCCAGTAATGGGGTTTCATTTGACAGTAGATGAGGAGGTTTTCAAGTAACAGGAAGCAGCAAATGGAAAGTATTGATACAAGGTGCATAAATGTCAGAGCGGCGCCCATTTTAGCCGCCAAGGCGTATCCCTGTAAAACACTGTTGCTGGATCTTCATCGCTGACCTTCAAGGGCATATTGATTGTTTACTAATGCCCCATGCTATGCCTCACCTTTTCATGTTGAGCACTGAGCATGGCTTCAATTCAGATGTAAGCGTACACACACTTCCTGTTTGGTACCGTAAGGAATGGCGCTGGATCTTTTCCGGCATACCACTGAAAGACTTTAAACTAAGTAGGCCTGGTGATAACTAAGAATAATTAGCGTGATATTTTCAAATTAAAATCATGATTATCGATTATATCGATATAATCCCCCCAAAACTACTACACGCAGTCCACTGCAGCTTCGGCAACTTTCTGTTCTGTATGCTTTTGTGAGCATTACCCGTGTTGATGAATCTTTAATAAAACTACATATTAAATAATGTTGGGTAACCAAGAATCTTTTGAAAAGTACTTCACTTGTTATACTCATGCATTCATGAGCTTCTTCTGGTGCTGATATATGGCAGTTTGCGTGATAACAGCACTCCCTGCTGGAGGAACCTCAGACTGTAAGCGATTTCCAACACCATGTTCACGCACTATACATATGAACAAACAAGGCTTTCCATTTTCACTTTAGCTGTACAGGAAATTGTGTGTTGCCCCCTGTTGTATTCAAAGACAAGACAGTGGTAAAGAAACCACATTTTAAAAGCTCCAAATGTTTGTCTGTATTTTCAATCATAATAAAGAAGGAATTCTTCCAGTTCTTGTCTGAAAATAATTGTGCAGTTGTGTTAGAATGATGCGATACCTGGTAGGTGTGACTTTCAAGCTTTTGATTGAAATGAACCGTAAATTTAATGACAATAATGGCAATAAAAATGGCTTTTATCAAGTAATTACCTAATCAGATTATTATGAAAGTCCTCATGAGCTGGGTCAAGTGTTTTAGAAAAGAGAATTCACAGAACCGGGACTAGAACCAATGTTTTAACCACTTGTTCCTTTTTCCCATTGCACAGGACTGTGTTTGAGAAGAGCGCCACAGACAGACTGGTGCTTCTTCTGACGGTCTCGGAGACAGACGTCCAGTTCCGCTATGGCAGCCAGACTGGTCAGAACTTCTCCATAACTATGAGGACTGCAGGACACATCATTATAGGCCAGTGGACGCACCTGGCGCTACAGGTAGGAAGCTGTTTCAGTTGGCTAGGTGCCAGCAGGTCACCAAACTCAGGGAAACAGGCCACAATGTATTTAGAAGCCTGATCACACCACCGTATACTGAAATACATTGCACTGTCTATGGCAGCGTTGATTAATCGCTTTCGACACAGGCCCAAAAGCTATCAAACGGTCTAATCTGCTTGATCAGACCTCATCTACAAGGCGGCTGCGGCGGGCGCTAATCCTTGTCCATCCATATTCCCAGTAATTAGCCAGTGGAAAATATTGATATTAATATTGTGTCGGAAAACCTGCAGCAGGTTCACGCTGAACCCGTGTCACAACAGATTTCCGGCCTGGACAAGATGCATGAACGGAAGGCGTTAATTACAGGAGTAAACATCTGCTTTCCCACAGCTGTGGGGGCAGAGAGGGAGGGCTGTCTCCTTCCACACCCTTTCCTGCATACATATTACTACAACCCAGCCGATCACTTCATAAACAAGCCCGCGGACCAAGCAGTCGTGTTAAAATGTGTCGGAGCACGTGGCCCGTGATAACGTTTTTGTTTTCGTGTGAGGGTAATTTCTGCTGATGTTATTCTGATGCAAATACAGGTCATTGACAGCAAAGAAGTGATTGATATGCTCCGCGAACCGCTTCTTTATCAGCCTCAGAAACCTTTTCATGCCTAGTGCCTTTCTTTATACTGCCAGGCCCATGAGTCTTGGCGCCCTCGCGCTGTTCAGCATTGTAAGTGACTGGCAGTATCTCTGTGTTGGTAAATGAATCGAGAGAAAGGGGCGAGGAGAGACGGGGCCATCATCGGTATTGTAGGCGAACAGAGAGGTCTGTCTGCAGAGAGTATTATCTTTCAATGGCAGTGATTATCATGGCTTTAAATTGCAGTCGTTCCGATTACGAATAGCAGGTTGACTTCTGGGACAGAAAACATTATTATGATAATGAGATCCTACCCACAATTCATAGATAATAAGTTCCTTGTTTGGTGACAGCTGTGTCTAAGGCTCATAGACCTATCTTAGCTGCCCAGTCAGACTTCCATCTGCAATCTAGGCAGACTACGACAGGGAGAAAATTAGCCCATTTTCAGCTGCTACCTCCGTATAGAGAGCCGCTCGGCCCTGTACGCTCACTACACACGCTGTGTAGGGCCTTGCGAACTGCGCAAGGGCCCCGCCTCCCTCTCTTCTGTCAGTGCTGTTTCAATGAGAGGATGGAGTGGAACTATCCATCTGGTCTCGAAAAAAGGAAAAAACAAATTTCAGGAACAGCAATTAGGTAAACTTCTGTTCTCTCTTCTCCAAGTTGATTTCAGCAAATAACTAACATTTAACGAATAAAAGTTGATGTGCTGCATTCAATAAGAACAAAACTGAAGCTCGGAAAAGATGACGGGCGTGTCGGGCGTGAACGTATTTATATGCACGAAATGAAACTCGCTCTGTGCAGCAGCCTCTGTGGAGACCAGTCCAGGTAATATATGGGCGTGATGCACACTCCTCATAGGCGCACATCATTTTAGAACAAGACGATGATTATCTAGTCTTTCAGTCAAGGTTTAGTTACTCTGGACTAATGCAAAGTGGAAAGCAATGGATTGATATTGGCTATTGATTAAATATTGTGGTTGGTGTAAATTAAATATTGTGTAGTGGGTAACTCCTCTGCCTTGTATACTGTAGACTAGGGCTCAATCCCCTGCCTGGGTCAGCACCCTACACTATACCAATAAGAGTCCTTGGGCAAGACTCCTAACATTACCTTCACCTACCTGTGTATAATGATCATATCGTAAGTCGCTCTGGATAAGAGCGTCTGCCAAATGCCGTAAATGTGTTGATTTGAAAATGTTGATTAGTTGGGCATACTGGGCAATCCCTGATTCTGTTCTGTCTACTTATTTGTAGATCAACAGATGGAGCAAACTGTTTTAAAGGAGGGAGGATTGTAGTGGGAGCGCTGGGGTGCTCTAAATTTGAAAAGTTAATGAAGATTTTCAGGTGTGGTCAGAGCTCCCCCCTGGGCCGAAGCGATGTAGATGTTTGACTATATTAGGCCTGTCACAATCATGACATTTTTAGCTGAGAATTAATTGCTGTTTAAATAATTCAAATGAACGTGGTCCTTTTAGTTCATTGTGTTACTATTAAAAGACAAGTCTGAAGTGACCACAGCCCAAGCTCAAATAAACAAACATTACTCACCACTGCCCCTGAAGGTCAGTTCAAATAATTATCAGGTGATTATGTAATAAGTGTGAAAGGCCTAGGCTTTGTTATTCTTTGTCTTGTGCTTATAGTTCTTAAAACAATGCTCTACTAATAATAGAGCTTCTTTTCCCAAGAATCTTAAGCTGAAAGTAACATTTCCATTTTTTTCTACCTTTTGCTCCCCCTGAAACAGCAGCGTATTCACCTTCCTGCCGTCAAGCTGTTCTTTTGGTTGTATTTATAGCCACGTTCCTCTCTGCCAGTTCAAGTTTGGTCAAAATCAAGGAGCCAAATACTTGAGCTGCCTGTCAGGCCACTGTCTACCTGGAAGGCTCTTCTGGAAGTCTCTGTAGTCTGAGGAAACTCAAAGGCGTAGCAAAGAGCTGGGGGGAAACTGCTCAAAAGGAATATAACATTATAGTGTTTAGAAGGGCTCCGGGGAAGGAGGAAGAACTGAGGAGCTGATCTGCAGGTGCTTGTCCCTAGTCATTATAATGAGCGGGAGTACGTCGAGGAGAGGAGGAGAATGATATCCCTTTCATGTGGCCCCTTCAGATGACAATGAGAAGTGACAGTGGGCTCTTGCCGATTGTTTTGGAGCATCGCTCATTGTTGGCCGTTCGGCTCTCTGCGGATGTGCGCTGTAATTGAGATCAAGCAAGTCGTGAGTGGCTAGGGATTCACACGGAGAAGTAAGTGTAGCATATAGAACTCTTTCTCTTGTCACTATGTCAGTTAGCATGTCAGTTAGCTGACGAGCTGTGGCAGGTCTCTGCGCCTGAAAGGAAAGGGAAAGTTCAGAAATGCACTAAACGCTAAGGAGCCTTTGTGATTAGACCAGGCCCTGCAGGGCTAAGTTGGTAAACCAGCATTATCATATCAATACGTGTCATGAGGGCAGCCGCTAGCCAGCTTGTTGTAACGGAATTCGCTCACGGAAACGCGAAATGTCCGAGCACTAAGAGGTCACGGCTCTTTTGATGTAACAGAGCTCCTTGATAAGACACTACTGAAGTAATCATCCCCAGCCAGCAGCTTGTCCTTTTTGTTGTATCAGTTTGCCAGACATTGTTATGTCTGCTCTCACTTTTCAGCCCATGGGTTTGGTTTCAATGTAAAAACATGCCGTAATGCTGAGTGCTGAAGGCTGGGGTTGACTGGCTTGTGTAGAGATCTAGTGTAACTTTAAAGTGGGACCGTCACAATTAATCGATTACATTTAATGTTGAAAAACAATGATCGATTTCAGTTTTTAATCGATTAAATTTAATGTTGAAAAACAATAGTTGATTTCAGTTCTTGCTCTTAGTGAATCAGCAGTGATTAGTTGGCAGCTTGCATTATGTTATTACACGTCACAAAAATTGTTCAGTTAAGTTTAATTTTAATGGTTTTGACTTAAAAACCTGACATGCATTTTTAGGCCTGCTAAAAAACATATAAAATATATAAAAATATATTTTAGTGCAGCTATATTGAACTAAAACTTGTGAAGGTCCAGTAAAATAATTTCTCGCTCACAAAGGTCCAGAGAAATTGGTGACAGTGGTTACCTTTTAAATGCTTAACCGTTAATGATTAGTTCGGTTAACTAATGAAATAAAATGAGACACATCAAATATATTGTGATGAGCTGTTTTTTAGGCATAATTTAGAATTTAATGAGTTAAAATGTAGGACCATTGGCTGTTGTTTGGCAAAAAAAGGAAATAGAAAAAACTCTTTTGAAAAACTTTTTCAAATATTTGTCCTCAACAGAAAATGCTGTCTTTCATGTCCTTCATTGAACTAAAATAAAAATAAATAAAAATAAATATAGGCTACTCTTAATAAGCGTCTTGTGTCTTGTGTGGGAATATGCAACCACAGTGGTGAATCTTTCATACTGAGCTTTCAGTTTGTTTTATTTGTCCATAGAACTGAATTTTATGGGCAGATTAATTCAAAGTAATCTGTTTTGCATTGGCATTTCATGTTTGAACTTTTGATTAGCACCGCAAGCTCTGAGCAGACGAAATACATCAGTTTAGAGTTCTCTGTTCATTCTGTTTTTTGTGGCTGTCTCACTAACAAGTCATTTCGATGCTTCACTACCAGAAATAGTAAATAAAATTAAAGATGTCAAGTTATGTGAAGGATGTGAAGTTATTTGCTTTCTGAACTGATGTGTAGTCTCTGTTCTGATGAGCTGCCTTTGGTTAAGTTGTTTACATAAATATTGGGTCAGCATTCGGACCGCGGTCTGTCTGCTGACATCTACTGTTCTTGTGTATCATCACTTTTGGAACAAAACATCATCCCCAAAATGGTAACTTAACAAGAAAAGGAAAAAACATCCTTAACTTTTAATGAAATGATTTTGGATCAGTTGAAGCAGTTTATTCATCATGAAATGTTCACTCAATGTAAAGAGCAGCTGCAGTTTTCAAGTCATGCACAAAAACTAAAATGGGGATGGTATGCTCTTAGTGAACCTTTTCATCTGTGGTATCGAAGTATTCATCAGATTCTTCCCTGATGTGGTCTTAAACCAGCATCTTACAAGCTGATCTTGGTACAGGCCGTTCTAATTTAAAATTTAATTCAAGGGACATCAGAGCTCATATCTCAGAGAAAAAAGTGTGGTTTCCTTTGCAGCGTATCAGCAGACCAGTTCTCCTGCGGCTGTTGCTGCATTGTCTTTGGCTGCTCGAACTTGGGGAGAATCCGACAAGTTAATGAACATTTTCACGCACAATTAGAGCTTCCACCAGGGCCTAGGCCTCGGCCGTGGCATTTCGATCCGGC